ATGCCTTTGTGCATGCATGTGTGCGAGTCCATGTATGCGTGTGTTTGTGTGCACATGCGCACACATGTGCACACACTTCACACACACTAATCTTAAATATTGCTGGTTCTGTATGCGTGTGTGTGCCTGTGTGTGTGAGTGCATGAGTGTGTATGTGTGTGTGGGTGTGCATGTGTTGCTGTGCGTGCACGTGGGTGTATGTGTGTGTGTGTGCGGGCGAGGTGTTCGCAAGAGTTGTGATCAGCGGACAGTTTCCTGTAAGACCTGTTTCTCTACAGATGCGTGATGGTTATACGCAGTTCACCGGCACATTGAGAAAATCTCTTATGCCACAGTCCAGAACCTCTCTCCCCAAATCTCTCCACCTCGACTCACACCCTCCCTCTCCACCTCTAAACATCCAACCTCTTTGACTGCATCTGTGGTCACCTCCGACCGAGACAACCTACCATCCCCCACCCTGCTGGGACTTCCACTCGCCCTCTGTAAAGTGCTGGGAGATGTTTAGCTTAGCAACAGACACGGCTGTTTAAGTGGACATTATTGCCGTTGAACGCACGCATGACTTTTAGATAGTCACGCGATTATACATCAGGAGTTCAGCAGTCAATACTGGATTTCCCTCCCCCTCCCCACACACCCCTCCCCAGCTGAGCGAGGTTAGTGAAAATGGCCTCTTGTAAAAACTTGCAGACTCTTAAAACAATCCGAGAAGCAAAAAGCAGCATATTTGCTCTAAGGCCAAAGAGTGAGTCATGGATGCCTTAAAGAGTGCAACAATCAGGAGAATATTTTACAATGATGAAGATCGAGTGGGCGAGATAATAATAATACTTCTCACGTTTGATATAGACGTCTTCGAGACGTCTCAAAGCGCTTCGCAGGATATACTGTAGAGTAAGTTGACTGCGCTTCTTGCCCTCAAAAGAGATGGGTAATTGGGCAGATTCTTTTTCACGCAAAATCGCTAACAATTTCACGGGATACAATCCTCCAAATAAAATTGTTCACTCACATCCCGGCTGCTTGCAGGATGTCGCTATGTGCAGAGTGGTTACCTTGTTTTGCCTACAAAACACACAATAGGTGTCGTGTAGCTCAGTGGTTAGAGCACTCGCCTCGCAAGTGAGAGATCTGGGTTGGATTCCCGGACAGGGCCAAATTTTAGGCAAGTTTTCTTACTCCACACACCTCTGTTTACATAGCAGTAAGTAGAAATGCGGTTGTTAGTTGATTGCTTTTCGGAGGTAATAATTCTTTCAAAAACAAATTGGTCACTTCAACCCACGACTGTTTGTGGAACGCTGCTATGTGCAATTACCTGCCTCATTTTGCCCACAAAATAATAATAATATACAGTCAATTCACTTTTTACAGTATATTCTGTCAAGTGCTTTGAGACGTCTCTGCTACATGATAAGCTGCTATATCAAATGGAATTATTATTATTATAATTTCAGGTTCTGTTTCTCTCTCTCACTTTACGCTTCAGACAGCCATCATTATTTGAGAGATAAGCGGAGAAAGTAAACAGATTGTATCAATGGAGAACTAAGCAATTATCTGTACAAACAATATCATCTCACATCAGTTTCTGTTCAACTTCCTCTTGAGAGAGAATTGGGACTAGAAATAAAGCACCACAGCAACTGCTGGTAAATAAGACAATAACAACGACTTGCTATCACCTTGCTATTTATTTAGCGCTCCTCACACAGGGTAGTGTCTCGGAACGTTTCTCTCACAGACCCAATCTTTATAAGGAGGGCTGTCTTTTTTTTAAATTTGCTGGTGAATCTGTGCATTTTAACTTTCACCTTCATTTCTTTTCAGATATTTTTGACCTTTTTGACCATTTTAACCGTCTTTTCCGCCTCCTAGTCTCACGGCCTAAGACTAGGTGAAATTCTGGGCCTCCTATTTTTTTAAGGGGACTCTTATAATCCTTGTATTTGATACACCGACTTAGTGCGTCGTCAGATGTCTCGAAGAGCTTAATCTGAGGGTGTACTGTTTACGGCAGCCTATGTAGTGTGAAGATATTGAAGTCAAAGCCTTTTTCCAGATCCTAATGCTGTATCCATCTGAAATCTTAATGTGCTCATTCAGCTTGTCCTGTTAAATGCGGTTGAGAGATTTCATCTCTCCTGTTGGGTTCGGCATCAATCTGGCTCCAGATGTTTGACTTTTCCACAGCTGTTTCTCCACCAAAAATCTGACTCCTGCTTGGCGATCAGCTGCCAGGAGATTCTCTCTCTCTCTCTCTCTCCCTCTCTCTCTCTCAGTGGCAGGCTGGCTTTCTGCCGCTGCTGACAACCACTTTGCATCTCATACCCTCACCGTAGAGGTCACGGTCAGAATGAGTCCAGTAGATTCACCGCAAGACAAAAAAGCACTGAAAATATTTGCCGGGGGTGGGAGTTTCCGTCCAATTTTAACATCATGTTTCAGAACAGCCAAAATTCCCAAACGTAGTCTGAATTTTGGACCCTTTCTTGCTAAATAACCTTTTCCTTTTATTCGAAGGCTGATGGTAACTGATAATTTCACAACGACTCCACTCGCAAACAGGGGTCAGAGGAAGCAAAGCAAATTGATTAAGCGCTAAGGTTTTATGAAATTAACTGGCTTGCTGCAAGTCTACATGGGTGGTGGGGTGGGGAGGGGGGGGAAGAGGTAAAGCTAGGTTCACACGAACACTTGATAGAAAAACAGACCAACAGGGATTGAGGATAAGAATAATAACAATCCTTGCATTTGATATAGCGCCTCATCACTTGGCTGAGATGTCTCAAATCACTTCACAAAATATATTGTAAAGCTGTCAGTCAGAATACACAGTCAGAATAGATTGACTGTATTTTTTGGCAAAACATGGCAGCCAATTGTGCACAGCAGTGTCCCACAAACAGCTGAGGATTAAGGGACAAAATTTATTTATTAATTAATTTATTTATTTTTGAAGGGAATATTATCCCAGAAAGCGATCCACGAGTGATGTACATGAGTGGGGCTGCCTGATAATTGACTCGTGATTTAGGTAAATAAAACATATCCTGCAGCGCTTTGTGTTGTTTTCCTTTTATAGATCCCGCAATGATCCTTGTGTGTAAAAAGTTACAGCCAAACTGTTGCAAACCAGAGCTTTTTATTCCCCCTGTTCACGACTTGATCGCCGTGCTGATCTGAATGATCCTAACCTGTGTCGTACTCGGGATACATTGCCTGACATTAGGCAGGAGGGAGCACGGAATTGGGAAGTGGGAGTCAAAGACGCAAAGAGAGGAGAGAAAGTGGAGGAATCTTTTCTCAAACAATGGCTGTGGTCAAGTGGCTGAGGACAATGGCTGAGGACAACGGTTTAGTGTTATGGAGGGCAATTTCAGGACAGACATCAGGAAATGTCTCGTTACCCAGAAGGGAATTAATGACTGGAACAGGATTGTACCAGGGCCTTATTTGTGCACAATTGGCTGCCGCGTTTGACCCACAAAATATACAGTCAATCCACTTTACTCTGAAGTGGTTTGAGACGTTTCAACAACGTGATTAGGTGCTATATCGAATCGAAGGTTTATTATTATTATTATTATTTTAAAAACACACAGCTCAATGCTTGGGTGGGCGGTCAGGAGGGATGAGATCAGATGGGACGAAGGGTCTTCTTCATCCAAACCGAGCTCGTGATCATTCGAAGATTCGGGTGATTCTGAGGATTATTTTGAGGATTAATGTAAATTGCTGTTAGGTTCCTTTGTTGCTGAGTTACTCCGCACTGGAGACAATCAGGTTGTAAATGAGCACACTAATTTGATGCTTCCGTGTGGTGCGGGAATGTGCATGGGGTCTAACGTGTGGCGATCTCTAATGAAATTCTTTAATAAGGAATCTAAGTGGGAATGCCTTCCGGAGGCAGGAAGTAGTAGTGCGCTCATCAAGCCGTTCCCACCCCCACCCGCCAGAAATTCTGCTCTCTAAGTAGATTGTTCCCGTGGGAATGGCCTTCTGTTTTGACATTAAGGAATCGGGATGGAAATCCTGGCTTACGATCATGGAAAGTTTCACCGGGTTAGTTGTTCCCGCAATTGGAATGGGGAATTATTTTGTGGACGTTTGGTAGAACCATGAAACACTCATCCAAAACTCCGCCGCCAGTATACTCATCCGCGCTAAACTCTGCAGCCTCATCACCCCAGTCCTAACCAGAGCTCTGGCTCCCCATCACAGAGCGGATCGATTTCAAGATCCGCACATTCGTCTTCTCCAAGAACCTCTCCACGCCCTGGCACCTCCCTACCTCTCTGACCTGCTTACCCCCCAACCCACTACCCCCTGCCTCCGCTCAACTGGCTCCGGCCTCCTGCTTGTCCCTCTTGCCCTCTGTTCCACCGTCGGAGGTCATGCTTTCAACCACTACTCCCCGAAACCCTGGAACAATTTCCCTCTATCCCTCCGCCTTGTCCCCTCCTTCCCCATCTTCAGGTCGCACCTGAAGACCTTCATCTTCGACCGGGCCTACGGTTAACTCCCCCCCCCCCACCCCCTCCCCCCACCTCGGCTCAGCATCATGCTCCGCCATTATCGAGCGCTCTGGGACGCTACCCTGCGTGAGAGACGCTATATAAATGCAATTTGTTGTTGTTCCTGCCAACTGCAGTCCAACAAGCAAACCAATCATTGGGACAACATTTGGAGGCCTCTGTGTGCGGCTTGCAAACACTGGAGAAACATTCACTGCGAAATGCCGTTTCAATGTGCCAAGACTTTACAGTGAATAAAAGTGCACTTCCTCACCCAATAAATCACTTCACATTGCTGTGCCTGTGCGCAAATTGCCTGCCGCGTTCACCAAAATAACACGCAGCCACTGCCCATTATACAGCGTGTCCTGTGAAGTCAGTCCAGACATCCTCCTGAGGTGAAAAGCGCTGTATCAAATGCAAGGGTTATTATTATTATTAATAATATATGAAAACAAAAGCGACTGTAAGGTGACGTACATTTTTCCTTCCAGTTGTACTGCTTGTTCCTCGGTTTCAATGGTGGGGAGTGGGTCTCCGTGTAAGTCACGTAGAGCTCACTGTGACTCTTCTCTTCCTTATGTTTCTTCCACTTTTCACTGTGATCTTCGGTCACCTGTAACGTACAACAGTGTTAATTCAGCAGTTATCTAATAGTTGAAGCCCCATAGTGTAGTTATGAGAGAACTCGCCTCGCAAGCAAGAGGACCTGGGTTCTGGCAAAACCTTAGGCAAGTTTCCTTACTCTACACGCCACTGTTTGCCAAGCAGTAAGTAAATAAGAACACGGCTATCAGTCGAATGACGGATCGCTAATAATCCATCCAAACCAAACAAAATTGGTCACTCAATCCACGACTGTTTGTTGGACACTGCTGTACACAATTGGCTGCCGCGTTTCGCCCACAAAACACACAGTCTATTAATTTTGCAGTATATTCTTTGAAATGCTTTGAGACATGCCAACGATGTGATAAGGCGCTATGTCAACTGTGAGGATTATTATTACGATTATGATTATGATTGATAATGACAGTGTTCCTTAAAACCTGGTCTCCACGACAAATTAACCATTTAGAGGTACAGTTTTGTTTTATGAAAGGGATTAAGTGTGGTCACTCCCGTGCCAATTTGCCAACTGCAACATCCCACGAACAGCCGTGAAGCGAATGACTGTTTTTATTCGGGGAGGGATTGTTGACCAGGTCGCCAGTGGAGAGAGAGAAACTCCCTTCTCTTTTTCGAGTCACGCCACGGAATCTTTAACATCCACCCCGAACAGGGAGCTCGGTTTAATATCTCATCTGAAGGGTGGATGAATCTCAGTGGGTCAGAGATCAAATCCAGCCCACGGTGGCTCTGAAAAGTCGTCATGTGAATGGTTGGCAGTCGGTGGAGCCTTGATTAATGATATTTGGCTCAGAACTTGACATCGAATAGCTGGGAGTGGTGAGTGTCAGCTCCAGTGCTGAGTTCAGTGTGGGTTGGTGGTGTGGGGGGGGGATTTATTTTTAATGTGTGAATTTGGAATTCCTCTAAAAATCCCCTCCTCTCTTGCATTAAAATCTAGGCTAAAACAAAATGATAGGAAGCCTCAATATTTCACATTAACTCCCTCTGAAATTATGCCGACTGACCTTGCTGAGGTGCCTATTAATCACCAGAACCCAGCTTCGTCTAAATGGTGTTTTACTTCCTGTGGGAAAATGTCAATTTTTAGCGCTATATAAATCATTTTCTGACCTCGATCTTTTTCCTAACGTTTCAGGATTCCTAGTTGTGGAATTTTTTTTTCTCCCCACTGCCCCTGGACGGCATTAAAATAAAAAAATCCAAAAGGATATTCTAGTAGTAAAAGCGTTCATCTTACACTGTTCCCCCCACCCCCTCTAAACAGCAGCTAACACTTCTACACCATCATACTGCATTAACTTTTAAATCCAGTTCATATTTAATAGACAGAGTGTAGCATATCTTATACTTAACTCCTAATCAAAGATATACTCGATGGTTTCATTTGAATGCAAGTTTTAGTTTATGCCTATTGACTTAAGCCTATATCTTTCTCTTGGTATATTGCTAATCGCATAGACTAGGCACAAATGGCAAGGCATTGAATGCTGGTGTATCAAAGTCCTCTATGTAAAGTCGTTGTGACGTCCCAAAGTGCTTCACAGAATATATTGTAAAGTGGATTGACTGTGTATTTTGTGTGCAAAATGCCGCAGCCAATTGTGATTTACATTTACACAGCGCCTTTCACCCTGGGAGGACGTCTCAAAGTGTTTCACAATACTGAGCCCTCGAGCTGGGGGTGGGAGCCGAGAAGGGTGGGGAGGCGAAAGCGTGGGGACCCAAAAGCCCGGTCAAAACTTATTACGGACAGCATTAAGTGGGATCCTTTTGTTGTAGGAAGCAGACAGTGTGTTATAGGCTGGATAGATTGGTGGAAACGATATGTCAGGAAGAGATATTACAGAAGATCAGAAGTTGGCAACTTCATTTCATATCAGTTTCCACAAGTGAAGGCAGTTGTAAAATTTCAACAAGTCCAATTGTTTTTTGGCTCATGACTTCTGAAAGCAAGACAACACCGGAGGAGCGCAGGTTTGGGAGAAACACGAAGAAATGTAAAAGTCCATACGGCAGATGAGCCGGACAGGACATATCTTTGGAACGTCAATGAAACGCAATTTCACCTAAGATTTAAGAACCTCAAAGGATAGAAATCTCATTAGGTGATGCAGGTTTCCATTGGGATATTCCACCTGTGGACAACGCTGAATGGAATTTTTACCAGCAACTTTCTCACACTGGTTCAGAAGATGTATTTCAATAATAATAATAATCGTTGCATTTCATATAAAGGTTTATCACATCATTGAGACATCTCAAAGAGCTTCACAGAATATAACGTAAAGTGGATTAACTGTTTATTTTGTGGGTGAAACATGGCAGACAATTGCACACAGCAGTGTCCCACAAACAGTCGAGGGTTGAGTAACCAAATTTTGTTTTTGGAGGGATAATTACCCCCGGAAAAGCGATCTGCCAAAGCTATGTGGAGTGGAGCATTGCGTCATTCTAACCTTGCCCGCTGTTTGTACGTCAGTGCCTTTGCTGAGGTTAATTTGTTCGTCCGATTTCCAGGCAACAGAGCTGTGATCAGCGACTGAGACTTTGGTTCTTGAACTTTCTGTGAATGTGCTGAAAGAAGGGAAATTTGCAACATTAAAACTTAACTTTAATGCCATCCACAAGATCCCACTGATCCCAGACTCCACCGTCTGCATCCTCACCTGCAACCAAACTCCGCACGCCCATCACCCCGGCCCACCGTCTCCCTGTCTCACGTTGGACCAACTTCAAGGTCAACATCTTATCTCTTTGATCTTCCTCTACCCCACATCTCTGCTTGACCCCCTCTGCTTGGCTAACTCATGTCTGCTGCTGCCCTAACACCGTGCCAACATTTCACTGAATCTGCCTACAGTCACCTTACCCTCTCCATTGCTTGATGTCTGACCTTGTCATCATTAAGCGCTCCTATGCGAAGGACGCTATATAAATGCACATGTTGTTGTTGTTAAAGTGAGTCTTAAACTTACTTAAACAAATCGCATTTATAACACAAAATGTAGAGGACCATACACAAAATGAACTTGATGGGAATAGTGGAGTCCTGTAGCTCAATGGTTAGAGCACTCGCTTTGCAAGCGAGAGACCTGAGTTCAATTCCAGGCAGAGGGCGAAACCTTGGGCAAGTTTCCTTACTCCACACAGAGCCTAATAATAATCCCTCCAAAACCAAAAACAATAATAAATTGGTCATTTTCAATCTACGACTGCTTGTGGGACATTGCTGTGCGCAATTGGCTGCCGCGTTCGCCCACAAATATACAGTCAATTCACTTTACAGTGTGTTCTGTGAAGCGCTTTGGGACGTCCTCCCGACGTGAAAAGCACTATATCAAATGCAAGGATTATATTATATTATTATATATTATAGTTTGTAGCTTTCAAGAGAATAATAATCTTTGCGTTTGACACAGCACCTTATCACGTCGAGACATCTCAAAGCACTTCATAGAATATACTTGACTATATATTTTGCGAGTGAAACATAGCAGCCAATTGCACACAGCAACGACCCACAAATAGCTGTGGATTGAGTGACCAAATTATTATTACTATTTTTCTTTGAAGGGATTACTATCCCCTGGAAAGCAATCCGCCAATCGACTAACAACCGGGTTCCTAGTTACTGCTAGGTAAACAGAGGCGTGTGGAGTAAGGAAACTTGCCTAAGATATCCTGTGTCAAGGAATCAATCCCGGGTCCTCGAAATTGCGAGGCGAGCACTCTATCCACTGCGCTACAGGATTCCAAGCAAGTCCATCACTGGTTGCACTTCAATCCATAGGAGTTTGTGGCTGAAATTTTTTTGCGATTACTCATTGCTTGGTGAAAGGGGACTTTTGATTAAACTTCCTAAATTAACTGCCTGCAAACACTGCTCAGCTCACACAGACCCAATTCAGATGAAACTGCGCTGGAGAAGTTTGGGGTTTGGATGGGGGAAGGGGAAGTGGGTTCAAAATTCAAATGGAATTTAAGAATTCCTCCCCTCCCCCCAAATTAGACTCGCGCTGTAAATTTTTAAGACAAAGTTTAGCCTCGAAGGCTGAGACCAGGTGGAATTTCCGGAAGGGCAGAATCTAAATAGTGCTTGAATGTCACAGACAGGAAAGATATTGCAATCCTCCAACGACAACGACCAAAAACCTGAGCACGGCTGCCTGAGAGAAGCAGCAACGGGCTTTTGTTATCTGACGCTGCCCAGTAACCCCTAGAGATTTTAGGATGTAATTTAGTGCGAGGGAAAAGCAGTGTAGGGCAAGGAAGGTTACAAATTAATAGTCAGTGGGATTTTCTTCTAACCTCAACCTGATTTCCAGCAATATACTGCACGCACCAGTATTTTTTTTTCCGTGTGCCGTTTCCTTAGGATTGATGATACGGTATTGATGCCAATGCTGGGAGCCCGAAGAGACTACTGCTCCTCTAATTAGTCTGCGGCTCTCGTGTGTGACTGGTGGCAGGGAGAGCGGGGGAGAGTCGTGCTGCTTGTTGCCTCGATACCATCAATGGTAATGCGAGTCACAGACCTGCTGTGTTGCTGCGCTGTGGGGCTGAGCCCAGGCATGGCCAGTTGATAGTAACAATAATAATAATAATAATAATCCATGCATTTGATATAGCGATTTACCACATCGTTGAGCGCTTCACAGAAGAAATGCGTTTTGCCCACAAAATATGCAGTCAATTTGCTTTACAGGATATTCTATGAAGCGCTTTGAATATTATTATTAATATTTATAAAGTGGATTGATTGTGTATTTTGTGGGCGAAACCCAGAAGCCAATCATGCATTGAGAGACCAATTTTTTTTTGGAGGGAGGGATTATTATTCCCTGGAAAGCGATCCGCCAATCTACTGACAAACAAGTTCCTACTTACTGCTAGGTAAACAGAGGCATGCGTGTGGAGTAAGGAAAGTTGCCTAAGGTTTCGCCCTGCCTGGGGAATCAAACCCAGGTCCTCTCACTTGCGAGGCAAGAGCCCTAACCACTATGCTACTGGACTCAGTTTAGGGCTGGGTTGCTGAATGTGGCCTTTCTTTGTTTATTTCCTTCCTTATTTATTTGCATATTGTTTTTCAAAGTGTGAAAGCTGCATCCTCCAATATGCAAAGGAAAAACAAACTGTTTGGCTGTCTGGATTTTCATTTGATGTTTCAGTCAGTAACGCTCTTGCATTCAAGTCAGAAAGTTTTGGGTTCATGCCCCACATTAGGGATTTTTAACTCCCGGTCTAGACCACCGCTCCAGTGCAGTGCTGGGGGGAGTGCTGGTGTCACCCTTCGGATGAAATGTTAAACTGTGACTTTTCAGGTGGATGTTAGAGATTCCGGCCACTTTCGGAAAAGAGAAGGGAGTTTCTCTCTCTCTCTCTCCCACTGTCCGGGCCAACAATCCCCCAGATAATATTGGTCAATTACTTCATGGCTGCTTGTGGGACTTTGCTGTACACAAATTGGTTGCCGCGTTTGCCTACAAATAAACAATCACTAGACATCACAGTAAATCCTGTGAAGTATTTGGAGAGGTGCTCCAGACATGAAAGGCGCTGTATCAAATGTAAGAATTATTATTCTTACTACTATTGTCCTGTAACATTTTTTTTTGGGGTGTGGATACAACATGCACGGACGCATTTCTAAACAAATTCATTGGGTGGATTTTCAAGTGCTAATGACAGGGAGCTTTACCTGGCTTTGGTAGAAATGTCACTGCAGATCTCCTCGTATGACTTATCTCCTCGAGCCTCTCCCATCACCCACACCCACACATCTCCATCATTTCCCAAAAGCCACTTAACCCGTTTTGATGAATCTGTAAGAAGACAGGAAAGAAATAAAGATACATAGATTAATGGTTCAATTCCCGGGCGCGGCAAAACCTTAGGCAAGTTTCCTTGCACCACACGCCTCTGGTTACCTAGCCGTAAGTAGAAACCCGGTTGTTAGTCAATTGGTTAAATAATAAAATATTAATCTGGTCACTAAATCCACGAATGTTTGAGAGACACCACTGTTCACAATTGATTGCCGCATTTCACACACAAAATATACAGTCAATTCATTTTACAGTATATTCTGTGAAGCGCTTTGAGATGTCTCAACGACGTGAGAAGACGCTATATCAAATGCAAGGATTATTATTATTATTATTATTTATAATTCACTGCACTGTGTTCCAGCCACCAAAATTCCACCTAGTCTTAGCCTGGGGTCCTCATCACAGAGCAGATACAGGGTCTAATCTCCTTAACCATTAAGAAAATCTGTCAAATAATTTGATTGCTCTCTTATAAAAAATGCCTTATTCAAGGAAACCGGTGTCTAAGACAAACCCACACTCAGTTACAGGTAAAGTCAGGGTCAAGAAGCTGTTATTGTGTTGGACGTTCCCTTTGATAAGCGTGTGGATCAGTGCAAATGACTTTATTACTGGTTCTCATGTGGTTAGGCTAAACAGTTGTTTAGTGCTATACTCGGGTTGCAAGGAATTATAATTTTCCCAAGGTAAGGTAATGAGGCGTGCAGAGATAACTCACTGTCCTTATGCTAGGTCCTTATGCTTTCCTAAGATTTTACTCTGCCATTAATTTTACTGTGTGTCAGCTTGGCTCAGTCGGTAGCACTCTCGACTCTGAATCCGAAAATTGTGGGTCAAAGCCTCACGTTATGGCTTTGAGCTCACAGTCTTGGCTAATGCTCCAATGTAGTCGTATTGTCACAGGTGCTGTCCTTGAGACAAGATATTTAACTGAGGTCTCGTCTACCTGTTCAGGTGGACGTTAAAGATCCCATGGCACATCTCGAAAAGAGAGCGGAGTTTCTCTCTCTCTTGGTGTTTTGGTCGACAATCCCCTCAATTAAAATTTGGCATTCACTTCATAGCTGTGTGTGGGACGTGGCTGTGCGCAAATTGGTTGCCTACAAAATGCACAGTAAAATCCTGTAAAGCACCTTGAGATGTCTCGATGACATAATAAAGTGCTGTATCAAATGGCGGAAGGGGAAAGGCATAGAAATTTTCTACTGCAGCATAAAAGCCTCATGAGAGAGGACAAAGAGTGGATCCACAAGAGTGAGTGAGTAAATAAGTTAATTTAGAAAGACTAGCAACATCAATTAAAATTGGGATCTGATATCCCAATCTCATCTGATTCAGTGTAAGAAGAAGACGGTTCTTGGTCGATTGCCAGATCACTTTCCGGGGTTAAAAACAAATTGGTACACTCAATCCATGACTGTTTATGAGATACTGCTGTGCGCAATTGGCTGCTGCGTTTTGCTCACAAAATATAAAGTCAATCCACTTTACAACATATTTTGTAAAGCGCTTTGAGACATCTCAACGTCATGATAAAGCGCTATATAAATTGCTAAAACAATAATAAATTGGTCATTTCAATCCATGACTGTTTGTGGGACGCTGCTGTGCGCAATTGGCTGCCGCGTTTCGCCCACAAATATACGGTCAATTCACTTTACAGTCTATTCTGTGAAGCGCTTTGAGACGTCGAGAAGACGTGAAAAGCGCTATATTAAATGCAAGGATTATTATTATATTATATCAAATGCAAGCATTATTATTGTTATTGACCTTCAGGCAGAGAGGGCCTGCCCCGTCCTGTCTGCGCTGGCTCTAACCTCAGGTGCAATGAGGCTTTTAGAAAATTGCTAATGGGTTTGTCATCATCAGCTTTAAGCTGCAAGCTGCTTCTCTCATGAATCCTTGCGGGTTTGACTTGGTTTACGCCTCTGTGTCAGGAGATCACCGGTTAAAGTCTGTACTAGGGTCAGTCGCTAAAAGGATTAGTTCCTTTTCAAACGAGTCACTTCCTCCCCCCCCCCTCCCCCCACCACCACTGTAAAGCACTCGGAGACATTATTCTATGTGAAGGGCGCAATGTCATTGTTGGATGGTGTTTCTTAATTAATTTGAGGACTAGTTTAAGGAATACCTCAAATTTACAGCGCAAACTCTGAGATGGCGATAATTTTGCATAGAAATAACGATCCGTGCATTTGAAATCGCCCCCTTATCACGTCATTGAGACGTCTCAAAGCGCTTCACAGAACATACTGTAAAGTGGAGTGACTGCGTATTTTGTGGAAGAGACGTAGCAGCCAATTGCGCACAAACAGTAGTGGATTGCGTTGGAAATTTCACAAAGGGTGAAGAAAGAAGAGAGAACGAGACAGAGAGAGAGAAAGCAGTCACAGAGCAGTGTTAAGAATGCAGGCAATGCTGTGTGGGCATTTTGCACAGTAACAACCACATCACATCCTCCTGAGTCACTGCCCAATCATTGCGGAAGTCAATGGATCAAAGGGTGCAGTCACTCATCACCATCACAACCGTGGCTCTTGGTTTCCTAAACTAGGCCATTTCCTCACACCGTGTGGTCCTACTGACGTCTCCCCCTTCCCCTCCCCTCCCCTTTGTATGCCGCAGCCCTCAAAAAAACAGCCTGTTCAGTATGAATAAGAACCATCAGTGTTGAGTGCAGTTTCCTAGGCTGTCTGCACACTGTGCTGTGGTAGGCGAGGGTGACTGCTGATGTCAAGCATAATGAGAGATTGATAACGGCACAACAGGAAGGGGAAGAGCAGGCGAACTTTAGCCGGTTTGAAAACGAGGGAGTGAAAAGGGGGAAATTACAAGTGGCAAAAAGAAAAGAACATTCGGATGAGTTGGCGATACAGTCACTGTGCCTGGCGATGACAAGAGAGTCCGTCACTGTAAAACGCCGCTCTGTGTCACTTCATGCTTCTCGCATGACTTTGTCTTATACTCATCATCCTGCCCAGCACCGCAAACACAGACATGTCACAGCACCAGTAATGATAATCCTTCCATTTGATCCAGTGCCTTATCACGTCCTCAAGACGCCTCAAAGTCCTTCAAAGAATATACTGTATAAGTGTATATTTTGGGGGTGAAATGCGGCAGCCAATTGCGCACAGCAGTGTCTCACAAACAATCATGGATTAAGTGGACAAATTATTATTTTTAAATTCTTTTGAAAGGATTCTTCCCCCCAGAAAAGTGATTGGCCTAACAACTAACAACCGGGTTCCTACTTACTGCGAGTAGTAAACAGAAGCGTATGGAGTAAGGAGACTTGTCTAACTTGTCTTAACATTTCGCCCTGCACAGGATTGAACTCTTGCCTGTGAGGCGAGCACACTAACCAGTACATTACAATATATTCTGTGACGCACTTTGAGACGACTCAACAACGTGATAAGGCGCTATATCAAATGGAAGGCTTATTTTCTTATATGAAGCGAACGACAAACATTTTTTGAACTTGAAGGGATTGTCGGCCAGTCTTAAGAGAGAGAGAAACTCCCTTTTAATTATGAAGAGTGCCGTGGGATCTCGGTTTAACATCTCGAACTCTGACTATACAACACTCCCCCCTCCCTCCCACCCCACATCATTACACTGTAACAGCAGACTGGGCTGTAAGCTCAAATTCCCCTCCTCATGGGGATTGAACCCACAACCTACAGACTCAGAGGCGAGAACGCTACCTACTGATCCAAGCTGGCACCATGCCAGCCAGTGTCTCTCTGAACACATGTAAATAACATAACTTTACGGTTGACCCAACAGGCTATTTTAAAGGTGAAATTGGCAGAAATACAGTAGTGACGGGAATGTGCTGAGGCCTAGAAGGTCTGGAAGTCTCTTTGTTCCATCGACGCTCTGTATTGCAATACACTTAACACTGACTGTGAATTTCACATCATTCCTATAAGTGTCACCGTGCTAAAGATTGTTACACTTCAGCGCAGCGCTGGTGGGAGCACCACATTGTCAGAGACGCTGTCCTGTGGATTCGATGTTAAACCTCACTCCCTGTCTGTGCCCTGTTCAGGCAGATGTTAAAGATCCCTCGCAGCCCTATTGGAAAAGAGAGGGGAGTTTCTCTCTCCCAGTGATCAGGCTGACAGATAAAATTGGATCATTCGCTTCGCGGATGTTTGGGGGACATCGCTGCACGCTGCATTTTGTACTCCAAACACTGCTGTTTGGAGTACAAAATACACAGTCACTACACTTAACAGCAAAATCCCGTGGACGCTTTGAGTACGCATCACCAATTGTCTTCAAAGGGCATGATAGAGTAGATAGTGGGAGATTGTTTCCCCTGGATGGAGAAACTAAAACCAGGGGTCACAACCTTAAAATCAGAGGCAGCCCTTTCGCACTGAGTTGAGGAAGAACTTCTTCACTCAAAGGGCAGTGAATGTATGGAACTCACTGCCCCAAAGGGCTGTTGACGCTCAGTCCTTGAACATATTCAAGACTGAGATAGATAGATTTCTTATTGCAAAAGGGATTAAGGGATATGGGGATAAGGCAGTGTCAGGTTATTAGCTGGAGTTGGATTAGAAGATCAGCCATGATTGAATGGCGGGGCAGGCTCGAAGGGCCGAATGGCCTACTCCTGCTCCTACATGTTATGTTATGTTCCCCCTATCCGAAAAGGCCATTCAGATGCAATTAATCCAACAATAACTTTATCTAACTTTTTTTCTACTTAACAAAAGTAGAAGTAGAAGGTGGGGGTGTGGGGGGAGGATGAAATAACTAGAAAACCTTGAATCCTGGGTTTGAAGAAATGCATTAATGCTAGTTATGTGAACAATTCTGCGCGCAATTACAGAAATAATAATTTGATATAGGGTCTTATCAGGATGTTGAGACGTCTCAAAGCGCATCACAGGATATTCTGTAAAGAGAAATGACTGCATTTTGTGGGCGAAACGCAGCAGCCAATTGATAGGCTATAACCTGTGAAGCGCTTTGAGATGTCTCAACAATGTGATAAGCCACTATATGGAGTCCTGAAGCTTAGTGGTTAGAGCACTCGCCTCGCAAGTGAGAGGACCTGGTTTCAATTCCCGGGAGGGTGAAATGTTGGGCAAGTTTCCTCACTCTACACGCCTCTATTCACCTAGCAGTAAGTAGGAACCTGGTTGTTAGTTGATTGGCGGATTGCTCTTCTGGGTACAATAATCCCTCAAAAAATTAATTAATTTAAAAAGACATAATAAATTTGTTCGCTCAATTCACGATTGTTTACGGGACACTGCTGTGCATAATTGGCTACCGTGTTTCGCCCACAAAATGTACAGACAACCCACTTTACAGTATATTCTGTGAAGGGCTGTGAGACATCTCAAAGACGTGATAAGGGGTTACATCAAATGCAAGAATTATTATTATATCAAATGCAAAGATTATGATTATTATATAGTTTACCTTTCTGGCCGCTGGCTTCATTCCTCTTTTTCTCCTCTCGCTCACTCCTTTCTTCCCTTTCTTTCCACCTCCGCACTTGCTCCTGTCTCATCTTCAGGAATAAAATGTGTTTCTGTTCCTCATTCAGCTGATCCAGGACCTCGGGGTCTATGTACATGTCCTGTAATATTTGCTGCAACATCGCGACAGTGTCAAAGTGCAGCCAAGCCAAAGCCTGAGAGTGGCCAAGAGAAACACACAGACCCTCGGACAGACGTCACAGAAGAAAGAAGCACAACCTTCAAGACCCACAGATGTTCACGCTTGATCCTGCTGCACCTTCTTATCAAAACAGTCTTCAGTAGGATGCAATCTTCATGTTATCCTTACAAGAGAGAGAAAGAGAGAGCAATGAAAAACCCTGGGTAAATTGTTTTAAATTTTCCAGCAATCAAATTGCCTTGCACCCAGCGAACAAAAAGGACAGTTTCAGTAGCCCCCTGAGCCTGGAAATGGATGGGAAATGGTTTCAATGCAAACTCTGGCTTTTCACAACATCGCACCTCACTTCCAACACATAGTTTTTGAGTATTCACTCAAGACAGAGAGAGCCTAAGTAAGGACTTTACTGTGTGCAGGACTGGGCTGGGCTGGGCTAGGGGGTTGACTTGATGCCTTTATTATTAGGGCTGTGTTTTAGCTGACAGATTACGTCAAGACATTCCATGTGCTCTCTGTAAGATCTCAGCTGCTTTTTTTTAACAAAATGCAAATGCCACTGTGTGACACCACACCGACCTGTTCAGCACTGCACTGCACTCAGGAAATTGGAGCTAGCCATTAATGATCGCTGAGGGACTTGTGTCTCATTAGTCAGAGATCCCAGAGCGACGTCAAAAAAAAATAAGCCCCTTCCAGCCTTTTTTTCTTTTGTATCATGAATTTTTTTTCAAATTGCATTAATTCACACCTTTTAAAAAGTAATAACTTGGTAACTCAATCCCCGACTGTTTTTTTGGGACACTGTCTGTTTGGGGTGCAATTGGCCACCGCCTTTCGTCCACAAAATATAAAGTCAATTCACTTCACAGTATATTCTGTGACGCGCTTTCAAGATGCAAAATTAACCCTTCAACAACAACAACTTGCATTTATATAGCGTTTCTCACGCAGAGTAGCGTCCCAGAGCGCTTGACAGTGGCGGAGCACAATGCCGAGGACGGGGGGAGGGGGGAGGTGACTGTAAGTACGGCCGAAGAAGAAAGTCTTCAGGCGCGACCCGAATTCACAAATAATTGACACATCAAGAGTTAAAACAAACCCTTCAGATGTTAAGAGTTAATTTTGTCTCGCGTCTCAACGATTCCTCTAACCCTAAGTCGTTCGCCATCAACTTTTTTGTGTGTCGGTGGGTGGGGGGGGAGAGAAAAGTGGGGGAAGGTTGTATGGTCTCAGAGTTTTTCACTTCTTAACATCTTTTGTTGTTACTTTCAACTCTCTCCCTCCCTCCCTCCCTGTTTTGTCCTTCCAAAGTCTCCTGTCTCTTCCCCCTTCTCTCTCTCTCTCTCTCTCTCTCTCCAGATTGTCCAGTCAAAAAAACAGGAGGATGGAGAGAGAAAGAGAGAGACTTGTCATTGCTTTTTTATATATAGTTAAGAAGAACGAAGCATGTGCATCCTCTCCACCCCCACCCCCCCAGGAAAGAAAGCTGACAAGTTAAACAGTTTTGAAAATAGCTGAGTCCCATCCAGAGCTTAAAAGTCTGTTTCACTCCATCTCTCTCTCTCTCTCACTCACTCTCTCTCACGCACAGAGCTCCAGAATGTTAGTTAAAGTTGTTTTATAAAGAGATCCTACTTTTATAAACCTTCTTTCTCTCTGACACACTCACACACACAGCTCCAGAATGTTAGTTAGAACAGCTTTTTAAAGAGATCAGATCTTTAAATAAAAAAAACCTTTCCCCTGACAGAGATACACACAGATACACACATAGCTCAACAGAATTGTTAGTTAAAGTCTCACCCTTTTTTTTATAGGGATCACATCTGTATAACCCCCTCTTCTCTCTGACACACACACACAGAGCTCCAGAATGTTAGTTAGAGTCACTTTTTAAAGAGATCAAATCTTTATGGAAAAAGAACCCTTTCTCTCTGTCTCTCTCTCACACACACACACATGACAGAGGTGAGTGTGACTTGGGGCAGTGGGAGATGGGTGAGCAAAGAGCAAAGAGGAGGCAATCAGTTCTAAGCACTTTAAACAGAGTTTAACTTGATTCTACTTACGTTTGCTGTTTGGTGGTTGGATTTCCTGGTTCTGTGCAGAAAAAGCAGTCTCTGTCTGAATGAAAGCATTCTTCCGGACTGCAGAGAACTGAGAGAGAGAGAAAGAGAGAGAGAGCAGCTTTGCAATACGTCAGTGAACTACAGTAACTGAGAGAGTATTAGGGGTTGGATGTGATTTCACATTTTACAGGAAATTGTGCAAAAGCAACGCATGATTGTCTGAAGTTGTCTTTATTGAGGAACCAAAGCTTTTGATGGTTTGAATAGTTTTGCATTTTCTAAACTTGGCTTCAGATTTTATCTGCACAACTGGTCCAGTGTGTTCTCTCTGTTTCCCTTTCTACAGTGGGACTGGGTATCTGTTTAATTCCATTTGGTATATTTTTTTACTGGATCTTGTCTTCTGCTATGTTGAATACCCACTCCCCCCACATACACACACATACAAAAACATACACACACATACAAAAACACCCACACATACAAAAACATACACACACATACAAAAACATACACACACATACACACACATACAAAACCATACACACACATACAAAAACATACACACACATACAAAAACATACACACACATACAAAAACATACACACACATACAAAAACATACACACACATACACACACATACAAAAACATACACACACATACAAAAACACACACAGATACAAACACACACACATACAAAAACATACACACACATATACGTACGTCTCTCATACACACACAAACATATAAAGCAGACCTACACAAATACACACAACAACAACAACAAGATTCCATTTATAGAGCGCCTTTCACGTCGGGAGGACGTCCCAAGGCGCTGTACAGTTGGGTCAGGACCCGAGCAGGGGGGAGATGGTCAGGGTGAGGGGAGGGAAGGGAGGGAGCGAGGAGGGGGTACACAAACACAGAAAAGGAAAACATACACTCATACATACACAGACATACACAAACAAACAAAAACTTACGCGAAATATCAACTACCTGTAAAAAGCAGCTATTTTTTGAAGCTCAAATACTGTATATTAAGAAAATAATCTCCATTCATGTGTAACCTGGCAGTGTTATTGGTCTGGCTGACCCATCACAAAATACCCAGTCACTCCACTTTACAGTATATTCTGTGAATCGCTTTGAGAAGTCTCAACAACGTGATAATGCGCTATATCAAATGCAAGCATTATTATTCGTATATTATATTATCACTGAAAAACATGAAGAAATTACCCCTACACAGTGATTTAAATTGTAATAACATAATCATAATATTAGAATTTGATAAGGCACCTTATAACATTGTCAAGATATCACAGAAGGAGGCCATTCGGCCCATCGTGTCTGTTCCGGCTCTTTGGAAGAGCTATCCAATCAGTCCCACTCCCCCACTCTTTCCCCATATCTTTGAATTTTTTTTCCTTTTCAAGTACCTATTTAATTCCCTTTTGAAAGTTGTGATTGAATCTGTTTTCATCACCCTTCCAGGCAGTGCATTCCAGACCGTAACAACTCTCAGTTTAAAAAAAAATTCTCCTCATCTTCCCTCTGGTTCTTTTGCCAATTATCTTGAATCTATGTCCCTTGGTTACCAACCCGCCCACCAGTGGACGCAGTTTCTCCCTATTTATTTACTTATTTAACGGCAAAGGATGGTGACTGTGTTTTTGTAGGCGAACACAGCAGTCAGTTTGCACAGTGATGTCCACTGGTTCAGGACAATGTGCAGGCAGTTATGTTATGTTCTTTTCTGCACCAAACCCGCCCTGGAGCCCTGAGCTGTCCTTGCTAGCGCTCACTGAAAATCATTAACGCCATTCAATTTCCACAGTCACTGCAAAATAAAGCCTCCTCAGTGACACTAGCTCATGTTGACTCGAGCCAAAGTGTCTGGAGCAGCAAGGTGGCCATGGGCTTAATTAATGGGGGCGTGTGTGCGTGTGTTGGTCTCTCTCGTTTTCTTGCTGCGTGTGTGCGTGCGTGTGTGTGCGTGTTTCTCTCCCTGCAGTTGATGTGTCTCTCCGAGTCTATCTCCTCTGGATTGTTATTGTGTGTTTGTCTGTGTGGTTGTGTACATGCGTGTGTGTATGTGAGTGTGTGTGTGTGTCTCTCTCTCTCTCTGCATCTTCTGACACTGTGTATTGCAGGTCTGTCTGTGTGTGTTTCTGTTTTTGTGCAGTCTCGGTTTATCTCTGTCTCTGGAGGCTTTAGCTCTCTTCCTTTGCATAGTCGCTAGCTGTGCGCATCTCTCTCACTCTCTCTCTCTGTCTTGTCTGCCTCTATGTTTGTGGATCCCTGTGACGGGCGCTATCTGTCTCTCACTCTCTCTGCCGTCTGGTTCTCTGACAGTGATGGTCACACTCTCTCTCACTGGCCCCAGAAGGTGTGAGAGCAAAAGCGAGAGACAGCTTGCAGTGAGATAGAGAAGAGAAAATGACCGAGACAGTACAGCAAATGGTACGAAACACACTGTATCTCTACTCACTTCTGAAATGACTTTGCTTAGATATCTTTCCTTTCACTTTCAACAAAATCCTCTTATTTGGTCAGCTGGGTGTCTGACACACGCAGAAACCCATTACCGTGCTTAAGAGTATCCAAACCAAGTTGAGAATTCCATCCATCATGGAAATCCCAGAGATATATTGTTGGAATGGAATGCGCTCTCTCCCTCCCTGGAGGGACACATCCTGCTTCTACTTCTGGAAAGTATCAGGCGCAGGTTGGCAAGAGCCAAGGCTTGGGGACTCCAGAGTGTAGTTTGGGGGTAAGTGCTGGAGTCTAACCAGCATAGTTTGCTATTGTTATCGCTGTCCTGCAAGCTTTCCCGTTGCTTATCCAGCCAGGACCACCTTACCCGTTAGGGCTTTGGCCTTCAGGGTTAACAGGAGCACATTATGGGACAAATGGCCTGTATTTTATGGGGCAAACTTTGCAGTACTACTTACATCGTTCCTTGTGCTAATTAAGATAAGGGACAAGTTAAGGAATACGGCAGATTTATCCCTGAAACTGTTGTACCCGCTCACACACACACAGTCACATACACGCACTCATACACAGATACACACACACAGTCAGATATTGCAGAGTCACACTCAACAACAACAAGATTCCATTTATAGAGCGCCTTTCACGTCAGGAGGACGTCCCAAGGCGGTGTACAGTTGGGTCAAGACCCGAGCAGGGGGGAAATGGTGAGGGAAGGGAGGGAGGGAGGGAGGAGGGGGTAGAGAGTCGAGAGCACTCACTGTACAACAACAACACATTACATATGTGTAGCACCTTTCACATCGGGAGGACGTCCCAAGGTGCTATCACATGCAGAGTCAGTCACACACGTGGAGCTAGACACAGACCCACACATTCACAGAACCAGAGAAAGAGACACGAATACACAGACACACACACATAGAGCCAGATAGAGAGAGAAAGGGAGCCACATACACGCACATACACAGCTTGAGAGTGAGAAAGAGACACAGAGACACACACACAACCAGAGAGAAAGACGTACACACACACAGAGCCAGATAGGGAGAGAGAGAGCCACACACAGACACACACACACACACACAGAGCCAGAGAGAGGGAGAACGAGAGACACACACAGAGGCACACTGAGCCAACAAGCAATTAGGCAGCAGCCAGGGCAAGATAGCTGCCTGGGGTTTAAATGTTTGATAGAAAGTCAATGGGAAAGCTCAGGGTAAGTCAGGGACAGCTGCTTTTCTGTGGGGGAGGGGTTGCTCAGCCTCCCTTTCTTGCTCTTTGTGCATTTTCTGACTGTGTGAATGTTCTCCCTGTGCAATCTCTTCCTGTGAGAGCAATCTCTCTTTGCAATCTCTGACTCTGTGTGTGTCTCTCTCTGCACAGTCTGTTGTGTGTGTCTCTCTCTCTCGCACTGTCTACTCTGTATGTGTGCGCGTCTCTGTCTCTGTATACGATGAGCCGAATGGCCTCCTTCTGTGCTGTATAATTCTATGATAGTCTACGTGTGTCTCTCTTTCTACACAATGTCATTTTTTCCGCCATGTGACCTCCTCAGGCCACGGCTCAGGCTCCCCACAGAGCATAGAGCGTGTGCTAATGCCAGCCCTGTCTGCCACCGGCTGCACTCTTAAAGTCACACAACAACCTAGTATGTGTGTGTCACTTTCTCTCTCTGGCTCTGTCTGTGTGTGTGTGTATCTCTCTTTCTCTGGCTCTGTGTGTGTGTATGTGTGTGTATCTCTTTCTTTCTGGCTCTGTGTGTGTGTGTGTATGAGTGTGTATCTCTCTCTGGCTGTGTGTGCCTTCGTTCCTCCGGGTCTGGCCTCCTCCTCGTCCCCCACTCCACCCTCGGCGGCCGTGCCTTCAGCCACTATGCCCCGAGGTTCTGGAACAGCCTTCCTCACTCCCTTCGTCTCGCTCCCTCCCTTCCCATTTTCAGGTCTGTGCTGAAGCCCTTTTCGACCGCACCTTTGGTCACCTTCCCACCCCTCCCCCTGGCTCAGTCCTGGGATCCGTTACTGTAAAGTGCTTTGAGACGCCATCCGGTTGTTGTTGTGTGTGTGTGTGTATCTCGCTCTCTCTCTTAAAGGACATCCATGGGCTTACTCCTTCTTACCTCTGTGACCTGCTAATCACATATCAACCTGTCCATTCCCTCCGCTCAGCAGGCTCTGCTGTCTCCCGCCTGGCCCACCCACCATCGGAGGTCAAACCATCAACCTCCCTGTTCCCAACCTTTGGAACTCCAACCCACAGTCTTTATTTCACCCCCCTCCCTTACCTCCATCAAAGCCCATCTCAAGACCCTCCTCTTCAACCGTACCTTCGGTCACCCTCCTACCCCAACCCTCCTTGCCCTCACCCCTTCTGATTCCAACCCCCTGCTTGGGTCCAAATGCCTGACTGTCCAGAGCCTTGGGACATCCTCCCGACATGAAAAGCGCTGTGTGAATGTAATTTGTTGCTGCTGTTGTTAGTGTGTGTTTGTGTATCTCTCTCTGGTGTTACAGTGAGCGTGTGCATGTGTGGGTCTCAATGCTTGATGATCAGAGCATGGGAGGCGCGGTGGCTAAATGAGAGAGACGGTGACCTTTTTCATCTATCCTCATAATAGTAATGA